TCAGTTTTTCATCAGCTTATATCTGTTTTTTACACCAGTTTTTTTTCATTAGTTTTGCATCAGTTTACATCTGTTTTTCATCTGTTTTTTGTCCATTTACATCCATTTTCATTCTTTTTTTGTCTGTTTACATACGTTTTGATTAGAGATGAGCGAATCGAAGTAGGCGAAGTGGAATTCGTTTCGAATAATAGAAAAATTTCGATTTTTTAATTAGCATACTTCAGATGCGCGAATCAAAATTTTTCCTAAAATGGCGGCGACATGTGCGGCGACAGAGCGGGGATGTCTGGGAAGGCGCGCAGACAAGGCGCGCTGACCCATAATGCATTCATTAATGACATGTGATCGCATTAGCCAATCAGCAGCCAGCTAGCCAGCACTGTGTAATGGTCGAGCTATAAATGGCGGCCATTTCAGAATTCTCCATTTGCCTCCAGTCATTCAAGAGAGGCAGACCTCTCTGTATTAGGGACAGAGTTAGGGCCACAGAAACGTTACTTAGGGACAGAGAAACGTTACTTAGGGCCACAGAAACATTACTTAGGGACAGAGAAACGTTACTTAGGGCCACAGAAACGTTACTTAGGGACAGAGAACGTTACTTAGGGCCACAGAAACGTTACTTAGGGGACAGAGAAACGTTACTTAGGGCCACAAAAACGTTACTTAGGGCCACAGAACCGTTACTTAGGGCCACAGAAACGTTACTTAGGGCCACAGAAACCTTACTTAGGGCCACAGAACCGTTACTTAGGGCCACAGAAACGTTACTTAGGGCCACAGAACCGTTACTTAGGGCCACAGAATCGTTACTTAGGGCCACAGAAACGTTACTTAGGGCCACAGAAACGTTACTTAGGGCCACAGAATCGTTACTTAGGGCCACAGAAACGTTACTTAGGGCCACAGAAACATTACTTAGGGCCACAGAACCGTTACTTAGGGCCACAGAAACGTTACTCAGGGACAGACACAGAATTGTTACTCAGGGACAGACACAGAATTGTTACTGAGGGACACAGAATTGTTACTGAGGGACACAGAATTGTTACTCAGGGACAGACACAGAATTGTTACTCAGGGACAGACAGAATTGTTACTGAGGGACACAGAATTGTTACTGAGGGACACAGAATTGTTACTGAGGGACACAGAATTGTTACTCAGGGACACAGAACTGTTACTCAGGGACACAGAACTGTTACTCAGGGACACAGAACTGTTACTCAGGGACAGACACAGAATTGTTACTGAGGGACACAAAATTGTTACTGAGGGACACAGAATTGTTACTGAGGGACACAGAATTGTTACTCAGGGACAGACACAGAATTGTTACTGAGGGACACAGAACTGTTACTCAGGGACACAGAACTGTTACTCAGGGACACAGAACTGTTACTCAGGGACAGACACAGAATTGTTACTGAGGGACACAGAATTATTACTGAGGGACACAGAATTGTTACTCAGGGACAGACACAGAATTGTTACTCAGGGACAGACACAGAGTTGTTACTGAGGGACACAGAATTGTTACTGAGGGACACAGCATTGTTACTGAGGGACACAGAACTGTTACTCAGGGACACAGAACTAGGGGTTACTCAGAGACACAGAACTGTTACTCAGGGACAGACACAGAATTGTTACTGAGGGACACAGAATTGTTACTGAGGGACACAGAATTGTTACTCAGGGACAGACACAGAATTGTTACTCAGGGACAGACACAGAATTGTTACTGAGGGACACAGAATTGTTACTGAGGGACACAGAATTGTTACTGAGGGACACAGAATTGTTACTGAGGGACACAGAATTGTTACTCAGGGACACAGAACTGTTACTCAGGGACAGACACAGAATTGTTACTGAGGGACACAGAATTGTTACTCAGGGACACAGAATTATTACTCAGGGACACAGAATTGTTTACTGAGGACAGACACAGAATTGTTACTGAGGGACGGACACAGAACTGTTACTTAGGGACACAGAATTGTTACTCAGGGACAGACACAAAATTGTTACTGAGGGACACAGAATTGTTACTGAGGGACACAGAATTGTTACTGAGGGACACAGAATTGTTACTGAGGGACACAGAATTGTTACTCAGGGACACAGAATTACTGAGGGACACAGAATTGTTACTCAGGGACACAGAATTGTTACTCAGGGACACAGAATTGTTACTCAGGGACACAGAATTGTTACTCGGGGACAGACACAGAATTGTTACTGAGGGACACAGAATTGTTACTGAGGGACACAGAATTCTTACTGAGGGACACAGAATTGTTACTCAGGGACACAGAATTGTTACTCAGGGACAGACACAGAATTGTTACTGAGGGACACAGAATTGTTACTGAGGGACACAGAATTGTTACTGAGGGACACAGAATTGTTACTCAGGGACACAGAATTGTTACTCAGGGACACAGAATTACTGAGGGACACAGAAATTGTTACTCAGGGACACAGAATTGTTACTCAGGGACACAGAATTGTTACTCAGGGACAGACACAGAATTGTTACTGAGGGACACAGAATTGTTACTCAGGGACACAGAATTGTTACTGAGGGACACAGAATTGTTACTCAGGGACAGACACATAATTGTTACTCAGGGACACAGAACTGTTACTCAGGGACACAGAACTGTTACTCAGGGACAGACACAGAATTGTTACTGAGGGACACAGAATTGTTACTGAGGGACACAGAATTGTTACTGAGGGACACAGAATTGTTACTCAGGGACAGACACAGAATTGTTACTGAGGGACACAGAACTGTTACTCAGGGACACAGAACTGTTACGCAGGGACACAGAACTGTTACTCAGGGACAGACACAGAATTGTTACTGAGGGACACAGAACTGTTACTCAGGGACACAGAACTGTTACTCAGGGACACAGAACTGTTACTCAGGGAAAGACACAGAATTGTTACTGAGGGACACAGAATTGTTACTGAGGGACACAGCATTGTTACTCAGGGACACAGAATTGTTACTCAGGGACAGACACAGAATTGTTACTGAGGGACACAGAATTGTTACTGAGGGACACAGAATTGTTACTCAGGGACACAGAATTGTTACTCAGAGACACAGAATTGTTACTCAGGGACAGACACAGAATTGTTACTGAGGGATACTGTCAGGAATGGACTGGCCAGCTATGGTGGGACTCACCTGCCTTTTGATCTGCAGTACCAGGGCTGGCCAGCGGGTGTTCCCAGCAATCAGAGACTCAACTTTGCAGCCAGCTAACACCTGTAACTGATTATGCTGGGGTATTTAAGGGATGGCCAGACCCACAGACTCTGCCTTGGTGTTGTGTTTGTCCTGGGCCCTGTATCCTGTTTCTGTCCTGCATCCTGTTTCTGACCTGCATCCTGTTTCTGAACCGCTGCTGACTTCTCCTGCTCTGATCCCGGCTCGCTCCTGACCATCCCTCTGTCTGACCCTCTGTACCACGCTGCTTGCTACCTGTTCTGATCCCTGGCTTGTGACCCTGACCAATCTCCGCTTGCTCCCCCTGTACCTACCTGCCCTATTGATATTGACCCGGCCTGCCTGACGACGCTTGCTTGTATGTACTGTTATCTGTGGGTGGTTGGTTTGGTTTGTTTGCACTGTATTATGTTTTTAGTATTGCACTGCGTTTATGTTTGTATTGTTAGTGTTAATAAATTATATTGTTTATAACATATCTGAGGTCTGCGTTTCCCTGCGTCAGTCACACATCTCTGGTCACACCTGGGAGCCCTGACATTACACCCAGGCCAATCCTGACCAGAAGTGGCTGCACAGGGAAGCCATCTTGGCTTGTTGCTGGGAAGGATGGATCTGGATGAGGTTGAGTATTTATATCTGCTAGTGTTTGATGACAGGGAGTATGCTTATCAAACTCTGAAGGAGTATACCCGGGATGAACTGCTAGAATGTATACGGCTCCCTCATGTTCTAGTAGATCAGGGCACAGAGTTCTCTGAGGTGCAGCCTTTGATTGAGGTTTGTGCTGAGTTGGTTTCATCTGGTTCCCCCGAATGCAGGGATGAATTTTTGCCACCATTTAGTGCAGACCAGGTAGAGTCCCTGGTGTGGTTATTAGAGGATGATGTGGGTTACTTTCTGGAGCGTTATTCCACATGTTCACCACAGGTACTAAGAGATTGTATAAATGCAGTGCAGTCATTGACCAGACAGGCTTTGTGTAAGCTCAGCTTTGTTCAACCCTACTGCAGACATGGACAGACTTGTTGCACCCAGCCTCAGTCAGCTTACAAAGACCCAGTCCTGCTTCTAACTCTACTCCTGTATTCCCACCAGCTCCTCCAGTTACAGCCCAGTATACTTGGCTATCTACCACATGTCAGTACCCTGTTCCCACTCGCTGCACCTATCCTGCCTTTAACCCTGTAAAAAAGCCCTCTGTAGCAACTGCTCCCTCTCCTGTTCCATCCTCCAGTTTTTCTCTGTCTCCAGCTGCTCCATTCGTTTGCAGACCTGCGTTTACTTGCAGTGCTCCAGTAGTTAAAACCAGAAAAAAGCGAAAATTCTTTCCAACCAATACCATCCTGCCAGTATCCAAACCGGTGAACCTGCCTTCCGTGACTCAGCCTGAAGCCTCTACTCAGCCTGATGCCTCTCTTCAGCCGGATGCCTCTCTTCAGCCTGATGCCTCTCTTCAGCCTGATGCCTCTCTTCAGCCTGATGCCTCTCTTCAGCCTGATGCCTCTCCTCAGCCTGATGCCTCTCCTCAGCCTGATGCCTCTCCTCAGCCTGATGCCTCTCCTCAGCCTGATGCCTCTTCTCAGCCTGAAGCCTCTTCTCAGCCTGATGCCTCTCCTCAGCCTGATGCCTCTCCTCAGCCTGATGCCTCTCCTCAGCCTGAAGCCTCTACTCAGCCTGATGCCTGCATTCAGCCTGATGCCGCTACTCTGCATGATGAACTTATCCAGCCCGACGATCCTATTAGGCCAGTTGACCTCGATGCCCGCTGTTGATCCAGATGATCCGGTACCTGATCCAGTGCCCGCTGTCGTGCCAATTGACTCAGAGCCGCTGTCATACCTGGTGACCCGGTGCCCACTGCCTTGCCAGATGACGCGGTGCCCGCTGGCAAGCCAAATGACCTGATGCCTGGTGACCCAGTGCCCGCTGTCATACTGGTGACTCGGCGCCCGCAGTCTTGCCAGACGACTCGGGTGGGGGCCCGCAGTCTTGCCAGACGACTCGGTGCCCGCAGTCTTGCCAGACGACTCGGTGCCCGCAGTCTTGCCAGACGACTCGGTGCCCGCAGTCTTGCCAGACGACTCAGTGCCCGCTGTTCCGCCAGTTGACTCGGTGCCCGCAGTCTTGCCAGACGACTCGAAGCCTGCTGTTCCGCCAGTTGGCTCGGTGCCCGCAGTCTTGCCAGACGACTCGGTGCCCGCTGTTCCGCCAGTCGACTCGGTGCCCGCTGTTCCGCCAGTCGACTCGGTGCCCGCAGTCTTGCCAGACGACTCGGTACCCGCAGTCTTGCCAGACGACTCGGTGCCCGCAGTCTTGCCAGACGACTCGGTGCCCGCAGTCTTGCCAGACGACTCAGTGCCCGCTGTTCCGCCAGTTGACTCAGTGCCCGCTGTTCCGCCAGTTGACTCGGTGCCCGCAGTCTTGCCAGACGACTCGAAGCCTGCTGTTCCGCCAGTTGGCTCGGTGCCCGCAGTCTTGCAGCCAGACGACTCGGTGCCCGCTGTTCCGCCAGTCGACTCGGTGCCCGCAGTCTTGCCAGACGACTCGGTGCCCGCAGTCTTGCCAGACGACTCGGTGCCCGCAGTCTTGCCAGACGACTCGGTGCCCACAGTCTTGCCAGACGACTCGGTGCCCGCAGTCTTGCCAGACGACTCGGTGCCTGCTGTTCCGCAGTTGACTCGATGCCCGCTGTTCCGCCAGTTGACTCGATGCCCGCTGTTCCGCCAGTTGACTCTCGGTGCCCGCAGTCTTGCCAGACGACTCGGTGGCCCACTGTCGTGCCTGGTGACTCGGTGCCCGCCGCTTCGTCTGGGGGGCCCGAGACCTGTTGCTCTCGCCTGAGGGCCCGAGACCTGTCGCTCCATCTGGGGGTCCGGCGCCCGCCGCTCCGCCTGGGGGTCCGATGCCTGTCGCCCCGCCTGGATGTCCGATGCCTGTCGCCCCGCCTGGGGCCCGATGCCTGTCGCCCCGCCTGGGGGCCCGAGGCCTGTCGCCCCGCCTGGGGGCCCGAGGCCTGTCGCCCCGCCTGGGGCCCGAGGCCTGTCGCTCCATCTGGGGGTCCGGCGCCCGCCGCTCCGCCTGGGGACCGGTGCCTGTCGCCCCGTACGGGGGCCCGGTGCCTGCCGCTCCGCCTGGTGGCCCGCTGCCTGCTGCTTCGCCTGGTAGCCCGATGTGCCTCTGCCCGGGGTCCTGCCCGACTTGTGCCTCTGCCGGGGTCCTGCCCGATGTGCCTCTGCCGGAGTCCTGCCCGATGTGCCTCTGCCCGGAGTCTGCTGCCGATGTGCCTCTGCCCGGAGTCCAGCCCGATGTGCCTCTGCCCGGAGTCCAGCCCGATGTGCCTCTGCCCGGAGTCCAGCCGATGTGCCTCTGCCCGGAGTCCAGCCCGATGTGCCTCTGCCGGAGTCCAGCCCGATGTGCCTCTGCCCGGAGTCCAGCCCGATGTGCCTTGCCGGAGTCCATTGCCCCGATGTGCCCTCTGCCCGATGTGCCTCTGCCCGGGAGTCCAGCCCGGTGGTGCCTCTGCCCGGTGTCCAGCCGGTGTGCCTCTGCCCGGTGTGCCTCTGCCCGGAGTCCAGCCCGGTGTGCCTCTCTGCCCGGAGTCCAGCCCGGTGTGCCTCTGCCCGGAGTCCAGCCCGGTGTGCCTTCTGCCCGGAGACCATGCCCGGTGTGCCTCTGTCCCGGAGTCCAGCCCGATGTGCCTCTGCCCGGTGTACCGCTGCCCCGGAGTCCTGCCGGTTTTGTGCCAGTCTTTAATATCCCGCCAGTTACCTGACCCGGGCTGGTGGTGGAACATTTTTTCTCCAGCTAGGACTGTTTGGAGCGTCCTGAGGCCGCTCCTTGAGGGGGGTTGGTACTGTCAGGAATGGACTGGCCAGCTATGGTGGGACTCACCTGCCATTTTGATCTGCAGTACCAGGGGCTGGCCAGCGGTGTTCCAGCAATCTGAGACTCAACTTGCAGCCAGCTAACACCTGTAACTGATTATGCTGGGGTATTTAAGGGATGGCCAGGACCACAGACTCTGCCTTGGTGTGTGTTTGTCCTGGGCCCTGTAATCCTGTTTCTGTCCTGCATCCTGTTTCTGACCTGCATCCTGTTTCTGAACCGCTGCTGACTTCTCCTGCTCTGATCCCGGCTCGCTCCTGACCATCCCTCTGTCTGACCCTCTGTTTTTTCCCCCTTCTCCACGCTTGCTTGCTACCTGTTCTGATCCTGTGCTTGTGACCCTGACCAATCTATCGCTTGCTCCCCCTGGTACCTACCTGCGCCTATTGATATTGACCCGGCGTGCCTGACGACGCTTGCTTGTATGTTTACTGTTATCTTGTGGGTGTTTTGGTTATGTTTGCACTGTATTTTGAGTGTTTTAGTATTGCATCTGCGTTTATGTTTTGTATTGTTTAGTTTGTTAATAATGATTATATTGTTTTTATAACATATCTGAGGTCTGCGTTTCCCTGCGTCAGTCACACATCTTCTGGTCCACCTGGGAGCCCTGACAGATACAGAATTGTTACTCAGGGGACACAGAATTGTTACTGAGGGAACACAGAATTGTTTTACTCAGGGACAGGACACAAGAATTGTTACTCAGGGACAGACACAGAATTGTTACTGAGGGACACAGAATTGTTACTGAGGGACACAGAATTGTTTTCTGAGGGACACAGAATTGTTACTGAGGGACACAGAAGTGTTACTGAGGGACACAGAATTGTTACTCAGGGACACAGAATTGTTTACTCTTGGGACAGGACACAGAATTTGTTACTCAGGGACACAGAATTGTTACTCAGGGACACATAATCGTTGAATTAAAGAGTATTGTCAGACAACATGCATAGGGAGTGGCAGAGGAGGCATGTTTTAGGAGCGAGCAGACGTGGCAGCAGAGGAAGGGGTCGAGGCAGCACTAGAAAATTCGCAGCCAGAGGCCAGTTGCTCTCCTGGTGTCATCCAGCGGTCGTTGTCTCCTCCGACAACCCTGCCATCATCGATTGGTTGGCTCGGTCGTCTACCTCTTCCCAGATCACCTCTGACACCTACAAGCCAACGGTCGGTGTGGTTAGTCAGACCAACCGTTGTTGGCTTGGCCGGGAGCAAACCCACTGAAAACACGTGTCCTCTACCCGCCCCTGCCTTTGCTGTTCCCTCCCCCT